GGTCAATAACACCCCAGACCCAACTACAGAGGCAGGAAGAAGGCGGCAGTGAAGGAGAGAGCATGAGTCAGTGAGGGACCAAAAGAGGAGTGTGTGGTCATGTGGGATGTGTGTGTGTGTATGTGAGTGAGGCACAGATAGATCCCGCAGGGCCTTAGAGGTCAGGCTAAACGGGCTCGCCTAACGAGGCAGCCTCTTCTACTGTATAAGCAGTTCCAGGAGGCCAACTTGTCCCAAGAAGCCTAGTGTTTATAAGGGGAGAACTGCTGTAACTGGGAGCCAGGCCTCACCCCCACCCAGGGTGCCCTCAGATAACACCTGGGACTCTACAGACACCCCTGCCAGGGACCTGCTACATCGGCTGTGGTCCCATGATCAACGAGTCTCCAGCCACCCTGGGCGCAGGCTCCTGGACTTCTGAAGCACGCTCCCCTCTGACCGGTCCAACGCCTTAGCCCGGGGCACTGCAACCACCAAGCAGCAGACACGTGAGCAGCCCAATCCTGTCCAAGGAGCAGCAGCCCCACGAGCAGCCTGCCTCAGGCCTAAGAGCAGAAACCTCATGTGGCCTGCCCCTCTCCAAGGAGCAGCAGCTGTCAGCTGTGTGAGTGGCCCGCTCCCTCGTCCGAGGAGCAGCACCCACATGAGCAGCCTGCCCAGTCTGAGGAGCAGCAGCCACACGAGCAGCCTGCCCACAATTAAGGAGCGGCAGCCCCACGCAGCCCACCCCCATCCGAGCAGCAGCAGCTGCACAGCCCACACCCTCCTCCTGTCTGAGGATCAGTAGGTGTGCGAGAAACCTGCCACCATCCAAGGAGGAGCAGTTGCACGAGCAGCCTGCCCCCATACGAGGAGCAGCAGCGATGTGAGCAGCCCATACCCATACGAGGTACAGCATCACTGCAAGCATCCCGCTCCCATTCAAGGAGCAGTAGCCGCCCGAGCAGACTCCCCCAATCCGAGGAGCAGCAGCCACAAAAGCAGGCCACCCACATCTGAGGAGCGTCAGCCCTGTGCAGTCCACACTGGTCCGAGGAGCAGCAGACACACACAGCCTGCACTTGTTCGATGAGCAGCAGCTGGGTGAGTGGCCTGCCCCCATCCGAGGAGCAGCAGACGCACGTGCAGCTCGCTCCCACCCGAAGAGAAGCAGTGACACAAGCAGCCCAACCCTCGTCCAAGGAGCATCAGCCACGTGAGCAGACAGCCCCCATATGAGGAGCAGCAGCCGCACGTGCAGCTCACTCCAGCCCAAGGAGCTGCAGCTGCCGAGCAGCTTGCCCCTGTCCGAGGAGTAGCAGCCACACAAACAGATAGACCGACCACATCTGAGGAGCTGCAGCCCTGCACAGCCCACACTGGTCCAAGGAGCAGCAGCCACATGCAGTCTACACCTGTCCGATGAGCAGCAGCAGGGTGAGCATCCCACCCCCATCTGAGGAGCAGCAGCCGCACATGCAGCTCACTCCCGCCCGAGGAGCAGCAGCCATACAAGCAGCCCATCTCCCATCTGAGGAGCAGCAGCTGCGTGAGCAGCCCGCACTCTATACAAGGAGCAGTAGCCCTGTAAGCAATCTGCCCCTGTCCAAAGAGTGGTAGCCTCACAAGCAGCCCGCCCCATCTGAGGAACAGCAGCGGTATGCAGCCAGCCCCGATCCAAGGAGCAGCAGCCATCTGAGCAAAGCGGCTAAGTGAAACAGAGGCATGCAATATGTCAGAAAAAGAATTCGGACTCAGGGTCCAAGAGTGCATAAACCGGATGGAGGAAAAAATCAAAAACTTATGCAAGAATCAAGAAGAGACAAATGAAAAAATCAACAACTTATGTAAGAATCAAGAAGAAATGAAGAGTGATATAGCTGCCATAAAAAACATAAATCAGAAGAGTGATATAGCTGCCATAAAACACCATGGAAAGTTTCAAAAGTTGACTAGGAGAAGTGGAGGACTGAATTAGCGAATTAGAAGATAGGGAAGCAAAACACACCCAAACTGAACTGCAATTGGAGAAAAAAATTAAAACACAGGAGGAGATCATAAGGGAGATATGGGACAACATAAAACGAAGCAACATATGGATAATAGGGGTGCCAGAACAACAGGAAGAGGAACAATAAATAGAAAACCTATTCGAAGATATACTGTCCTAAAACTTCCCTGATGTGGGGAAGAAAAAAGTCACACAAGCACAGAGAGTCCCAAACAAGATGAACCCGAAAAGACCCATGCCAAGACACATCATAATTACCATGGCAAATGTTCAGGACAAAGAGAGAATCTTAAAGGCTGCAAGAGAGAGACAGAACGTTACATACAAGGGATCTCCCATTAGATTATCAAATGATTTCTCAACAGAAACACATCAGGCCAGAAAAGAATGGACGGAAATTTACAAAGTGATGCAAAGCAAAGGACTGAATCCAAGAATACTCTATCCAGCAAGGCAGCAAAGGACAGAATACTCTATGCAGCAACGCTATCATTCAAACTTGAAGGGGAAATAAGGAGCTTCACAGACAAAAAAACAAAAAAAAGGAGTTTATCACCACCAAGCCAGCCATGCAAGAAATGCTAAAGGGACTGGTGTAAAAAGAAGAAATAAAAAGCCCAGAAAGAAAACAGCCACACAAAAAAAGAAAGGGCTACAAACAAGTACCTTTCAATAATAACTTTAAACGTAAATGGACTAAATGGTCCAATCAAAAGACATCGAGTGGCTGAATGGATAAAAAAACATGACCCATACATTTGCTGTCTACAAGAGACCCACCTCATTAAAAGGGACTCACACAGACTGAAAGTGAAGGGATGGAAAAATATCTTTCACGCAAATGGAAAGGAAAAGAAAGCTGGGGTAGCAATACTTATATCAGACAAAATACATCTCAAAGTGAAGGCCATAACCAGAGATAAGGAAGGCCACTTCATAATACTAAAGGGATCAATACAACAAGAAGATATAACCCTGGTAAACATATATGCACCCAATGCAGGAGCACCCAAATTCATAAAAAAACTCCTG